CTCAGCCCCTGCAACCAAGAGCCTGAGCTTTACCTGTGTTTGCCCCGCCCTGATCCAGGGCCTGGGCTCCTGAACTGTTTATCCGCTCAGCCCCCGCACCTACGGGCCTGACCCCCGGACTCCCGATTGTCCGCTCAGCCCCTCCCTGAGGGCCTGAGCCCTGAGTTACCTGTTGGCTTTGCTCTGCCCCTGTACCAGAGGGCCGGAGCTTCGGGACTAACGGACTGCTTGTCCCCACAGTAGTGAGTCGGTGTGGCTCCCCTCCCGCCCGGAAGGGTCGAGCCCCGGCACAGACCTATTACACGAGCCCCTGCCCCTGTGAGAAGGGGCTAGAGGGGGAGTGGCTGTTGCCCACCCCCCCGTTCTAAGGAATGGATATGGAGCGGCTGTTTCAGCTGCTCACGGAGAGTCAGGAGCGACAGCAGACGGCCCAGCTGCAGCAGCAACAGCAACAGCAGGCCGCTCAGCTCGCGCAGCAGCAGCAGCGAGATGCCGCCCAACTCCAGTTGCAGCAGGAGCAGCACACAGCCCAGCTCGAGCAACAGCAACAGCTGGTGCGGCAGTTGGGAGTCCAGCTGCAGCAGCTGCTGGTGACGATCCCTTGCCCCGCGGCGGGGCCGGCGGGGGAGGCTGCGGAGATGCCGCGGTTAGCTGCCCCCCTTCGTCTGACTAAGATGGGCCCGGACGACGACCCCGAGGCCTTCCTGGTCACGTTCGAGCGGGTAGCCCTCGTCGCCGGGTGGCCCAGGGACCAGTGGGCCACCCTCTTAGCCCCCTACCTGACGGGGGCGGCCCAGGTGGCCTATCATGGGTTGGCGGCTGAGGAAGCCCAGGACTACGACCTGGTAAAGGCTGCGATATTGGACGCCCTCGGACATTAGTCCCGAGACCTTCCGACAGAGGTTCCGGAGCCAGACTTATCCTGCCGGGGCCCGACCGCGGGTAGTGGCCCAGACCCTAAAAGAGGCTTGCCGACGGTGGCTGCAGCCCGACACCCGGACGGCGGAGGAGGTGACCGAGCAGGTTGTGCTAGAACAGTTCGTGCACACTCTACCCTCCCGAGGGCGCGCCTGGGTGCTCCGCCACCGACCGGCGATGCTGGCCAAGGCAGTATCGCTAATGGAGGACTTCCTGGCCGCCGAAAGTGCCGTGGGGCCCGCCTTCCGACGCCCCGGCACCGGGCCCGAATCAGCCCGTGGCGAAAAGAAAGGGGAACCCCTGATCGAACCACGACACCCCGCACCTAGGCCCGACCCCCACCGCGAGACCCGGATCCGGCACACGGAACCGGCCCCTCGGACCGGGCCGACGGCCCCGGGCCAGGGGCTCCCGAGGGCTTGACGAAGCCCCCCCCGGAGCCCAAGCCGAGAGGGCCCCCGGAGCAGACGACCTGAACTCGGTCCCTGTTTCGGTTGTGGGAAGATGGGGCACCTCCAGCGAGACTGTCCAGAGATGGATTGTAGCTATGGACAAGTGTGGGCGGGCCACACTCGAGCCCGGCCAGCCATGAACCCCAAGCTGACCGTCCTGGCGGCCGTCGGAGGGCGGACTACTCAGGCCTTGATCAACTCTGGCTGTGGCCAGACGTTGGTCCGTAAGGACCTGGTACCGCCGGGCAATACCCGCCTCGGGTGCATCCATCTACAGTGCATCCATGGGGATGTCCGACCCTACCCCAGTGCCTGGGTTCCCTTAACAATCGCGCGGGTCACCCGGCACCTGGTGGTTGGGGTAGCTCCCCACCTCGCATATCCGATGATCCTAGGTCGGGAGTGGCCGGCCTTCGAGGAAGTCCTACGTTCCACGCCGGCCCTGGGGGCCGATCGGCCAGGGTCCTCAGCCGAGACCCCCGAGCAGGGCTCAGCGACCGAGGTAGATGACGCGGACGCGGCGGGGCAGCAGCCGGAGCCCGCCCCTCAGCCCCGCTTCGATACCGACTTCTGTCGGGACCAGCGAGCGGACCCCACCCTCAGCCGCTTCTACGAGCAGCTCGCAGCAGTAGACGGGAGCGTTGTGGACCCCCAGCGGGCCACCCAGTGGCCCCACTTCGAGCTGCGCTGAGACTGGCTCTACCGCGTGGACCGCGACC